ATAAATTCAGGTTCTATAAATGAGTTACGCACAGGTTTAGAATATTCTCAATTGAAGGTTCAGACCTACATTCACTCCTCCAACATTCTGGTGGGGCATTTAAGTCCCAGGAGGAGTACTTGTCTAACTCTTGTCCAACTTGTAATGTTTTGGAAACTCTTGCTCCTCTCAAGCTTATTGACTGTACCATAAAGTCCCTTAAGTTCATGGTCTTCTCTTAGCCCCTCCGTGCTCCTTCTGGGGGACTTGATAACTACTGCAGTGCTCTTTCCCCGTACTGGGATGCTGTGGACTCCTCTGCCTTGATGTTGCACTCAGCTATTGCTTCTCCACCATGCCAGATGCAGGGCTTCTACTTGAGGCTAGAGGTCTCCTAAGGCTACATTCTGCTTTGAGCCATACACCACCATTAAAATTATCTGTCACTTTATCATTATCAACTCCTCACCCTGAAAGCATTCTAGCTCTGGGAGGGGGCAGGATACAGGGTCACTTGGGACCTACAGCATCCACTTACTATCTAACTCCCTCTCAGACTCCACTCCAGCCTTTCCTCAACTGAGCCCTTAACTCCAACTCTTTTCCCAGAGCACAGAAGGTAGATCCCTATATGAGGCAATGGAGAACGTGATTCTCCCCAAACAATTATTTTTGTCAATGACTGATAAAGTCTACTTTGAAGCTCAAAAGTAAAGAAAGTGCATCTCTGTCATTTTTTTCCCTCTCTGTATAGTGTATCTTGAGGGCAGAACATAAGCTGTTTCCTTATGGTAGAGAGAGGTAATGGGTACAAAGAAACTCAGGTTGGTAAAACAAACAGGCCAATATCTTGTTCAGTACCTTGAAATTTTCTCCCACTGTAGTTGCAAAGAATATATAGTGCTTAGCACATTGTATGTTTAATAATGTGAACCTGTGTTTCGTAAGTTTGAAAACACCAGCAGGGTTTGGATGAGAAGTAGACAAAGGTAAAGATAGAAAGGGATGCAACTTCCCCCTTGATAGCTCAGTGGCCACTGGCTCTCCCAACACCCTGCTTCTTTTACAGTCTCAAACTCGTGAATGGTAACACAATCCTTCAAGAGCTTAGGCAAAGAACCGTAGTGTCTTTCTTAATTACCTTCTCTCTTTCATTCCATATCCAATTTGTCAGCAAATCCTGTTGGCTCTGCCTTCAGAATACATCCAGATTCTGCCTATTTCTTACACATCCACCGCTACCATTCTAATTCAAGCCATACCCTCTCTCCCCTTGTTAATCGCAATATTGTACTAAATGGTCTTCCTGCTTCCACCCTTAAGCCTTTTAAAATCAGTTCTCCACCCAGCAGCCAATGTGATCTGATGAAAACATAAGTCCCTTCATGTTATTTGTCTGTTCAAAATGGCTTCTAACTCAGAGGAAAAGCCAAATTTACTATGAATGGCAAGTCTCCATGCAATCCCCCCAGCTCATCACCACTACTTCTCTAACCTCTTCTAGTACTTTCTCTTTTGCTCACTTGGCTTTAGCCACATTCACCTCCTTGCTCTTGCCTCAAGGACTTTGTTCTTGTTCTTCCTCTAGATATTCGCTTGGCTCAAGCCCTCATCTCCTTTGGGTCTTTGTTCAAACATTACCTTCTCAATGACGCTTTCCCTGGCAAGCTATTGAAAATGGATTCCTTTCCTCTATGCCCTCCTCTCTCCCTCTTCCCTGCTATTTTTCTCTCTAGTGTTTACTATCGCCTTTGAGGATTTATATTTTTATTGTCCGTGTCTTCCCATTAGAGTGAAAGCTCCATGAGGCAATGACTTTTGACTGTCTTGTTCAGTACAAAATTCTAAGCCCCAAGATGAATGTCTGACACATGTTAGGCCTTCAATAAATATTCGTTGAATGGATGGACGGATGAATGTTATAACTGCCAGATTACATGGATTTGTCTCATAACAAGTAGGAAGTAGACAAGCTTTTTGAGCAGGGGTCACTTTGATACAAATGTTTTATGAGATTTGCTATGATATCAGTGTCCAGGTTGGATTGGAAGAAAAAGAAACTAGAGGTTTGGAGATTAATGAAGAAGAAGTGAAGGTCTAAATTGGAATGGCAATAGAGGGAATGGGTGGGGGGTTGCTGGTTGTGTGAGAGACGCTTGGAGAAAGAATCCCTGATATCTGGGGATAACAAGAGTGGAGGATATGGCGTGGATATAGAGAAAGATGTAATGGAGATGGGAGAATTTAGGAAAAAGCAGTTTGAGAGGGAAAAAGGAAGATGACTGTTTACCCTTCAAGTTTTTGAAATTTTTTTGTAAAATGTACATAACATAAAATTTACCATTTAATACATTTTTAAGGGTACAGTTCACTGGCATTATGTACATTCATATTGTTGTGCAACCATCACAACCATCCATCTCTAAAAACATTTTTATCTTTCCGTGTGAAACTCTGAACCCATTAAACAATAGCTCCTCATTCCTCCCTCCCCCCAGGCCCTGGCAACCACCGTTCTACTTTCTGTTTATAAATCTGTCTATTCTAGGTACCTTATGTAAATGGAATCATACCATATCTGTTCTTTTGTGTCTGTCTTATTTTATGTAGCATAATATCTTTAAGGATCATCCATGTTGTAGCTTGTGTCAGAATTTCATTCCTTTTTAAGGCTAAATATTCTGTTATATGTCTATACAATATTTTGTTTATCCATTCATTTGTTGATGGACATTAGGATGTTTCCACCTTTTGGCTATTTGGAATGATGCTACTATGAACATTGGTGTACAAATATCTGTTCCAGTCCCTGCTTTCGCTTCTTTTGGTTAGATACTCAGAAGTGGAATTGCTGGAATTGTTAATATTTTGAGGAGCCACCATACTGACTTCGGTTTTAGACAAACTATGTTTGAGGTGGTGGAAAGTCTAGCAGTTAGGCCTAGAGTGTGAGTGAAAGCAACTGTAGCTGGAGATTTCACTTCAAGGAACTTGACAGAAGTGATGGCTGAAGAGGGGAGAATGAATTGGTTTAGAGACGGGGAAAGAAAAGAATTGAGCCAAGGGCTGCGTCTTAGGAGGGAGAAGGAGCTACGGGAGCTAGTCAGCGAGACAGAACAAGAGCAATGGGAGTTAGGAACAGAATGCCCAGTGTTGATACACACTTAGCTCAAACTCATCCATATTCATTGAACACTCTTACCAAAACTTCCTGTCAGATGAATAAGCTCCTATTTGAGGATGACATTACTTTCAAGGATCCAGGTCACAGATCACTCCTGAGTGTTGAATTTCTGAAACGCAGATACTTTTCAAAAAGGTCTGAGAAGCACCCAAAAAAAGCAGATGATTTCTGTATTCCTTATTTGGCTGTTCTCCATTTCCTGTTCTGCATTAGTAATTTCACAGTTACTTTTCTTTAACCTTTTACTGAAGTATGACATACCTTAAGAAAAGTGAACAAACCATATGTGGACAACTCAATGAATTCTCAGATCTTGCATATACCTGAGGATCCAACACCCAGATCAAGAAACAGACTATTTCCCACACCCAGTGATTCCCCTCCTGCCCCTGCTCGCTCACCCACTGTCCCCGTTATCTTGATGTTTAACACCATAGATTTATTTTACCTGTGTTGAACCTTATATAAGTGGAATCACATAGTGTGTACTCTTTGTGTCTGACTTCTTTCATTTAATATTATGTTTGTGAAATTTATCCATACAGTTGTGTATTGTAGTATATATTTCACTGTGTGATTTTACACGATTTATTTATTCCTTCTCATGTTGATAGGCATTTGGGTAGTTTACAGTTTGGGGCTATTATGAATAGTATTGCTATGAACATCACAGTTTCTTACTGAAATAGGAATTTTGAGTGTTATATTCACCTCTTTAAAGTTGTCATTGCTTATTTCATTGAAGTGCCTTTTCTCCTAAGTGCCTTCCCACCCTGCCTACCTATCTTCATTCTTTTATTTATTTGTTTTTTGTGAGGAAGATCAGCCCTGAGCTAACATCCAT